CTTTTTTTTCGGTGTATGAGAAAATTTTCACGTACCTTGGTCAAGTTTTCTCGCGTTTAAATTTTTATTATTAAAAAATATTTATGCTCAGCCATCGCCATGCATCACCATCGCTCATTTTTTGTGCTTCATATTCACACATTTTTTGTAAACTGAATTCACCACAAAGTATTCTATGCCGCGGAACAGGAACTTGGTTTTAATTAAAACCCCAGCTTAAACTTGATAAACCTTTAGCATTTTACCTGCCGAAATTGGAACGTCCGTCCTTGGAACTTAGGAATTAATTACAGGGTTTCCGAGAAGTAGAGTGCAGAGTGTTATAAAACAAAAAGGATGGCAGTACAGCGTCAAGAGATTAAAACTATGTCGCGAGAGCAAAAAAAAAAAAAAAAGATTTAATTAAGCGCCCTTCTAAAAAGAACACTCGAAAAGAATGGCAATAAAAATAATTACTCCCGGAGTACCAGGGTGAGATCGTATCATCTCGGACAGTCACGGACAGCTGCTGCTCCCACTGTTGTCAACGCCAAAAGGCTCAAACCTTTTTCCGTCTGCAAATACTGACGAATGTAGAGCCAAAACGAAGATTATCAGGATCTGCTGGAATTAACTTTTAAATTTCAGCGTCCATCACTCTGCCAATATGAAAAGGAACGCCGTATCCGCCTTTGACCCCGCGAAATTTCTTCTAATAAGCTACAAAATTCTTAAGAATAATTTTCTTCTAATATTTCAGAGAATTATATTCACAGTTTAATCCAATGTATCCAAAATGTCTAGGTAAAACATATATGTATAAAACTTTTGAAAATAATGAATATTTTATTCAAAGAAAGTTGGCAACATTAAAATACTCATAAAGCGTTTTAATTTGAATGCGGGTTAATGCATATTGAGAGGATGAGATTTGTTACAAAAATGCCTGCTAGTTTCTCTCTCCTGTATGGTCTATACCTAAAAATTTCCAAGAAAAATGGTGGATGAAGAAGAAAAACCAGAATCATTTTCAGATCCAGCGCTTTAAATTACGCGAAAATAACGTATAAAATGAAAGTAATAGTGATGAACACAGATATGTGCAACTGAATTAAATCAAAGTAAATGATAGTATTTGCATACCTAGTAGTTCCTTTTAATTTTATAGGTCGTATTAAATACATCAAACAGGGGAGATTGTATTGATATCGATTGGTTCAATATGAAAACATAGCCTCAAAAGTCAAGAAATCAGAGAGATCGGGTCTCTTGTGATAGATCTTTTTTTTCAGCGTGAGTACCAAATGCCAATGAAAAGTGTAATTGTCAAAAATTTTCTTATTTTCGGCTTTTCCAACTGAAATTCCAAAATTTTTGTTTGAGGTTATGTTCTATTGTTTTGAACCAAACCGGACATCGAACCACTATCGAGTATGATCTATTTATCAGTGCAAAGTTCTCTTGAACGTAAATTGTCCAACGTCGAGGTTTTTTTCGCAAAAGTCGCGCTGTCTCGATCGATTCGGCAGCGGTTGGCGCAATCAAGCCTTAGGTTGGATTTGAGACGATGAATTCACCTCCAGTGCTGCCGTGCTAAAAAAAGAAAACGCCGTATGAACCTTCAGCCGTTGCCAAATTACCTTTCATAAAACGCGAATTTCCTGGTAAATTTATGAATATTTTCTTCCCATTTCTTCAGATAATTTAGTTCACGATTTTACCTAAAGATTCTGAAATTTAAGGGCAAAATATTCATAACTTTCCTCGAAAATGAACGTTTTATCGAAGGGAATTTGGCAACTCTCGAGTGTTCTTACGGTGTTCTTCCTTAACACGGCAACGTGAGACGGTGCCGCAGGTCCCACGACTCAGGCGGGAGTTTAAACAAGGTGTCCCGGAGGGCCGGGATGTGTGATTGTGGTGAGCAGCCCTGTTGCATACCAACGTCCACCAGTGACGTGGAGTGCTTTGCGATGTATCGATTGATCCGTCATTTAAACACGTATGCAAAAGGATCGATTAACAGGGTGTTCGCAACGAACACCGTAATAATCGATTCTTTACCATAGTTTTTAATGGAGAAATGTCGATAATCGATCATTCACGCCTCGCCACTATGTCGTCCACGTTGCGTTGATTTTACGCCCGCGCTCCATTTTCTTCATCGTACCGCCATGCTGAGGAAATACGTCATATAAGCACTTAAATGTTGCCAAATATCCTCTTTGAAAATATTCATATTTGAAGAAAGTGAAAAATATGTTCCCTTGACATTTTCACACTTTTAAGATCAAATGACGAATGAAACACTGTGAAAACTCGAAGGAGGATATTTACCAATTTTGCGAAAATTCGTGATTTGTCGAAGGAAATTTGGCAACTTCTGATGGCTCATATGGCGTTCTTACTTAGAACGGTGAAGTAACCGTCTCACGGAGCACGAACACGGCTATTAATAGTCTATGTATGGTCAAACTAACTGAAGAGTAGATATTAATAACCTGGTAAGCTAAATCAGGCGGTGTTGCAAAGATTTTGCAGATATTCTTTATTGTACGAAAACCTTAGCCGAAGCCAAAACTGCAAAAACGCATAACTCGCTTGCGATGATGAATCAATGAAAGGTGCATGGTTGTTGAGTTGGGTCAACTTAGGTCACGCATCTAAACAAACTCCGGCGTAATGCGTAAGGTATCACGCTTCAACTGAAGGCGCGCCAAGTTTCTAACAAGTTTTAACTAAGACGCTGTGTATAAGTTACGGGATCAAGATGCAGGTTTCTCGTTAGTTTTTTCAACTGATGCGTGTTTCGAAGGTTAAACTGTAAAAATGTGTATCTTGTTTGCGCTGTTTCAAAATCTCCGCTCCCATTTCTTTGTATCGAAGGAGGACGAACCAGGAGTTCGCAGTACTGAAAACTTTATTTTTAGGCTTACAGCTGCTCTTTGCTATAACATGAAAAAACAGTCCACTAAGTTTTACTATTCATACTTATCCTCCGAACAAAACATTTATAAGCAACCATAATGGGTATAGACTTTTCAACTCACATCTAAATTGACGATACCCAGTTTTATCAATCTGCGAGAAGCGCCTCGTAAAAAAGCACGCAGCGTTCGACAAAACGCTGTTATAAAATCGATGTGCATGGCTGTTGAGTTGGGTCAACTTAGGTCACGCAACTAAACGAACTCCGGCGTAATGCGTAGGGTATTACGCTTCAATTGAAGGCGCTCCAAGTTCCTGACAATTTTTAACTTAAACTCTATGTAGAAGTTATAAGTATCAGTATAATATTAAATGTATGAGACGACTCATTTTAAATCTAGAGAAAGAGACACGAATTTTTACATCAGCCGGATATTTCTTTCGAACAACGTTGAAATAAATTTGGCTTTTAATATGATGCAGCTTGACCTTAAATCTTAGCCTCAAGCTCGGCATTCTTTTATAAAAAATGAATGAAAAACGATTGGGGCAATTCTGCAATGCTCTGAAAGCCCCTCGGAGTATATACTTATTCAGAATGAGATAAAGAGAGAGCCATCCTATTAAGATATAATAGCCGCAAGTCACAGTTAAAAAAGAGCAGAATGCCCCCCGGATATTCGCTATAAATGCTTTGAAACTTCGTTCCCACTATTCGCTCGCTTTTGCTCATTTCCTTATCAACACAAAGGATGTTTTCTTCGTGTCTTCATTGGATGAATTATTTTCACTCTAGACTGTCATTTTAATTAAAGTGAAAACGATCATCTGATTTCTCAATCAAATGAATATTCAATTCTCCTCTGGGTTTTTTTTTTAAAAAAAAAGAGAAAACATGTTTTACCCGAGGAAATAAGTTAGAGAATAAGTTAGGGAATAAGAATAAATGATAGCCTCGAAGAATGAAAAGAGCGGTCGACAAATATTGGAATCATTACGTTGGAGACTTTTTAATTTTCTTCTTTTTCTTCTTTGACTGCGAAAAATAAGTGGCGGTTTGTCGAACATTATGAGGAGATATTTTGACGAAGAATTAAATTATCCTCTTATTCATTTTTCAAAAGATCTTTTTTCTTGGAACGAACGCTCCTTGCGTAAAATCTTCGTTGCTCTTTCGGCGTCTCTGTCTCACTCCGGATTTATCACAGTTTTGTTGGAGCTCTTTCCATTTCAAACCCAACAGCACATTGTTCTCAGTAACGTGGTAATTTCAAAATACGATTTTAAAACTTAGCATATAGACCGTCGGATACGATATTATCATCACAGGACCTTCCGTAACTTACTGTGCAATGTTCCACAGATGTTTCTCAATCTTGTTTATCTGTGAAGAACACACTAAAGAAACAACTTAGCGCTGAGCCCCAACACTTTAGGGCTAGATCCAAGCTGTAGGGCTGGCCCCTAAAGATGTAGGAATCGGTACTATTGTCTGTAGTTGGCGCTGATTTACCTTAAGTGTAAGGGATCAACGCTAAGTTGTTTCTTTCGTGCAGATTTGGAATAATTACCCGCGAACATCACACTACGTATGCTGTCGTGCCAAGGAAAAACGTCGCACGAACATTCGAGCGGTGTCAAATTTTCTTTCAGAAAAATTCCATTTCTGAAGAAAGTTATGAATATTATTCCATGCAAGTTTCAGACTTTTTAGATTAAATTTCGAACGAAATCCTCCGATAAATCGCAGGAGAAATATTCACAAATTTTCTTTAAAATTTGTTGTTTTTTGAAGGAAAAGTGCCAAAGCCTGATGGCTTATACGGCGTTCTCTCTTAGCACGGCAGTGTTACGAAGAGAATCTTTCATCGCAATGATGAAAATACTCTCAATATACGTGGAGTTGTTTGAAAATTTACGGATGATTCAAGCCTCAAACTTTTAATTACGTCGCCTGAAGTTGCATGTGTAACGTCTTCAAGACTTCTATTGCTGCAGAATCAAACAATACTTTCGCGGCAATTATGAAATCGTTTTTTACTCTTCAAGCTGGCTGCATGATATTCATTTCGATTTGCATTTTGTGATTACAGCGACTTGGGACTGTGCGGGGAGAAGATTTGCCTTACGTTCTTGGTGTTCCATTCATCGCGCAAAGTGACCTGTTCCCTTTCAACTACACCCGCCAAGATATCGGAGTTGCTGAGGCTGTCATGAATTTCATCTCGAATTTCGCCAAAACAGGGTAAGTTCTGTCTTGCACCCTTTGACAGCCTGAATCGAAAACAAAATATTTTGGCGATTCTGCACCAATGATCTCTAACCGTATGCAAGGCGTTTTCGGAATTCCGATTTGTTTTCACCCTAAGCTGACTGTTGAGTGATGTTTCGATCAATCTTTTCTTAAAAACAGCGCTTAGTTTGGCAAACTCATTTGACCATCGTGTCGAAATGAGTGTCGGTCTGTAAAGCTTGCTGCCGTTCGCGACGCGTATAAGTGAAAGTTGTATTCCCGTTTTTAAGTTAATTAGCTGATTTAAATGATGCGAAAAAAAGGAAGTTTGAAAATCTTCTCCTGTTTACAATCGTAAGAACTTCCCGGATATTGTTCCAGCGTTTATAATAATTTTAGTCCTTTGAAAAACAAATTATAGGTATCTGGTTTACGCTGAATTATTATAAGTAGCTCTTTTTCAGGTTTTTAAAAATCCTGAGATGCCAGAAACGAAATATTTTAGCGATTCTGCACAAATAACCTCCGATCGCAGTACTTAAGTTTAGAAGTTGCATTTATTTTTAATTAACGTTGCCGGATGAGTGACTTTTCAACCGATGTGTTTAACAAACGGTACCTAGTTTGACATCGTTAAAGTTAATGGGCTAAGTAATAGGAGGGGTTGGTTTTGAAGTGCAGCTCCGTACCCCTGTAAAGGTCGAATTTTGAAGATCATCCGGAAAAATTGATTACCTACCGGTCCTCAACTAGCGGCTCCCCAAATTGATTTTTTTCGGGAACAGACTACTTACTCCATCCGGAACAGCTCTACAGTGAAAAATTAATTAAACTGACTTCGATTAACACTCAAAATGGTATGAGTTCAACCTATCGAGAATTGAAGAGCTAGAATACTTGAAAATATAGCAGAGATCTTATTAAACTCGTGTTATGATTACTCTTCCTTTCATTTTTTTGACAGATTCCTCGTTTCGACACCGTTTAAGATTCAATTAAGGTTTGCGAGTGATGGGTTGAAAGACGCAATACCGATTTCTCAGAGAAGATAGAGATAGCGTCAACAGAAAATTTGCAGATGACTGTTTGATGAATTCCGTGTTTAAGTGGAAACTACTGAGTGAACTGAACCCGAGAATTCCCTCGGTTCATGAATTGAAAAATTACTGGAGAAGATTTGAAAAAATTATCTAATCTGCTAAAATACGTGTGTTTAAATGGGAATTGTCGCCAGATGATGTCACTAGGCGGTGCATTTTCTCACTTTTAAATCTACTTTTAAACTATTTCCCACATCAGAAAAAAAAATTATAAAAAATACTGTGAAATTGGCTCTTTAAGCACTTTCAGATGAAGCAACAAATTTGCATGCAAAGTCTCCATCGGTAAAGTCCATATTACAACTCACAATTACACATACACCTATTGTAAGCTCTTGCTGATTTCTAGATTATCTTAGTTACACTTAGGTTGAGACCACACACTAGAGAAGGGGGTAAAAGGGTCTAAAATAATCAGTCGGAGATTACGACCTCCTTGATAAAATCAGCCGATATGCTTACTTAACAGGGTTAAAAGACATGAATTGAGGGGCTTGGAGGAAAAGTCGGATAAGTGCAGTTTTTGCTATTTTGCGAAATACGTGTTTGAAGTTTCGAAATTACATGGACCCTTAACGGTAGAAAGAAAGTTCTAACTGACTTTTCGATGCTTAAAAATTGGAAAAGAGGAGCGAATTTTTCACAGAATGTGCACTAAGACTAGTTTTACTTGGAATCATTTCTTTCTAATTTTTTTAAACAACTGTACTTATGCGCCTTTTCCTCCAAGTCCCTCATGTGTACTTCCCGCGTAAAGATATCATCGGGTTGAGTAACTCTGCTTTACGACGAAAGTGTTACATGGCAGCATCAGGTGGAAATTTCGGCTGTCGGGGCTCAAGGGTAAGGGAGCAGAGGCTTAAAAATTCATGGAGTAATATGAAGCGCGAATTTCTGAACTGAGTTTCTGGCGTATAAATATAATCAGCCCGACTAGATGCAGCTACTCTCTCCTTGCCCCGATTGCTTCGGGGGACTCCTCTATTCCCACCTGTCTTACTTATCCCTATTGCTACTTCTCTCTTATCGCCGCATCCTGTCTAACCGTCCCATGCTATTTTCGCTTTTGTCTGCAGTATGAAACCATTAGAGTGAATCTTCAGCGATGGTTTCAGAGCGTACCAATACGTCACGCTGCATAATGCAGGATAATGTAAATTTTCAACACACAGTCGCTGGAATAGTGTAAATTTGTGTTCATGACAAAAGCAACACACATTTTGAAAAATAACTCTGAGAAAGCCCTTTACCCTTTCAATTTTTTTTTATTCTGACCATAACCTCGTTTAGTGTCTCGTCAAAGAATTGGTGTTAAACTGAGTTCCCAAATGTCAAAGCAACATAACTGCCGTGATAGCGAAGAGAGTATAGTAAGTGTCAAATTTTTGAAATCGAGTTTCCTTCAACATTCGTCTATACTCTTTTAGATGAAATCACTAAAATTGCTAAAACAGCAAAATTCATCTTAATTTTATCAAAACGAGACGTATGAGAAAACCGTAAGGGCTAAAAATATGACGTAGTTTAAGGCAAGACAGCAGTAAGTGACAATAATCCTCCAGAGAGCCAATGAAAGCGGTGCATTTAAGTAAAAAGCCTCCTTTTCCTGCCAATATCTGATCTGAAAATGTGTTCGTTGTGTGTCAGAAACGCAACCACGAAAGCATGCAGAAGATGGCATTTACGGCCGTCTTGCCTAACTTGAAAATGAATGATACCCTTTTTATGTGATTGAAATAAAATCGGTCGACTTTTAATCATCCAAACGGTTTCTAAGAGTCTTTCGGACGATTAGTGGCAATTGGACGTATTTCTATTAAACGGAACTATGTGCATTAAGACATGAGCCCGGAGACCCATAAGAATACATGCGTTACAGGGATCACGTTATAATGCACATAGTTCCGTTTGATAGAAATACGACGTCCAATTTAGTGACAGAGAACGGAGGCGTCTTTCAATGAACAGGGTGTCTAGCATCAGAATTTTCCCGATTCTATCAGGATTTGAGGTCAATCAGGATTTAATCCCGATTTCATCAGGATCTAATCCCGATTTCATCAGGATCTGAGGAAAAATCGGTCGTAAAATCAGGATTTGAGAAAAGTCGGCCGTTCGATCGGATTCTTTAATCGAGCTATTTTTGTGAAGTTAAATTCGCCTTGCGTGAAGTCAGGATTTGGAAAAATTATGAAATCAGGATTTGGCAGTCAAAAATCAGGAAAAATCAGGAATTCATCAAGATTTCCCAAAATGAAAAAAAAAACCAGACGCTCTGATGAACTCTTCTGGTCAGACGCTTCTGAACCCTTTTTCTCAATACTTCATTTTTGCACTTGATGCGCTCTTCGCTATCACGGCATAATAAGGTTGGTATTTTATATGTTATTCGAATTTCTGAGATTGCATCCATTAATTTATCACCAATATCCAACAACCTAAGAGGTGATTGAGAAGTGAAGCGGAGAGGCAAACAGACCGACTGGGGAGAGGGTGTAAAACGAGGCATAACAAATCGTTTTCGATTCGGCCGCCCGTAATAATTAAAGTCAATTCCACGGAAAGGAGGAGTCAAAGCAGACTTCGCGGTTCGCCTGGGAGCGAGGCCCCCCAGAGCCCCCCCTCCCGATTCGACGAAGAGGGGGGGGGAGCTGCGACTGTTCGTCGGTCGTGCTTATTGATCATTCACCCCGGTTTTGCACACCTCTTGAATGCTTGCCAATTTCGAGATGAGTACGAGGCGCCCTCGCCAAATTGTGCGCTGACTTGTAAAACCCTCGGCTTCATTAAAGTGATTCTAAAGGATCTGAGGACCAGTGTTCGAAACTCACAGGCGCCAACGCGCCAAATGCGCCTAAAAAATTCGGTCATGGCGCCTAAAAAATGAAGGCTCTGCGCCAACGTGGCCCCTAAAAATTGCCCCCTAAAAATCTGAATTTTCATATTAGGTGATTATTCAAAATTTTCAGCACCACAAGTGAAAGCTTTTTCTTTTCTTCACGATTTCATCATTTGTGCTTTTATCTTTCACAAGTCACAGCTACTTACTAGTTCTGTTACGAAAACATCTTGCGTGTAACTTTTCACTAAATGCGCCGTAATATATAGGCGAAAAGTGAATTTGGCCCCTAAAAAATCTCCAATGGTGCCTAAAAATTGGGCTTAATGCGCCACATGGCTCATAAAACTCAAAGGTGAGTTTCGAACACTGCGAGGACGTGACCCACGTTGCGCTGATGTAAAGGCTGTTCCTTTGAGGAGCAACCACTATTTTCAGGTGTAAGTTGCAAGGAATTGATCTGTCGCAGGCAAATAATCAAATCAGACATTTTATCAAATGCCTAGGCATCTAGTAAAAGAATCTCATTAATATCAATACTACAACACATTATGGACCAGGATCTTGCATTAATGTGTACCTTAAGATAATGATTACTTCTTAATGACTCAGACATGAGTGAAATTGCCATTGACCAATTTCCGAGATCATATTGATCAAAGCTGGACGTCGTTTACTTGTTGCCCAATATTCGCTCTTGTTTAAGTTTTCAGCGAAACAAAGCCATATTTACATCTAATTTATTGTCATTACATTCCTTATATTTTACTAGAAATCACGAGAAATATTAAGGTAAAATTTCCGTCAAAGTTCTACCTTAAGATACAAAATTTGCGAGGAAATCAGGCAACATAAAATGCAGTTGAACTAATTCTGATTAAAACCGTTCAATTGATCCTGAAATACCGAATTATTTGGAGGAATATGCTCCAAATATGTTCAACTTTTTTAATTTTCAGTTTCCTGCCAATAACCCTCCACTGTGCGCTAAGCGATGGGAATAGATCCCGTAGTGTCATTACCCACCTTTCTCTCACCCCATCGCCCTCTCCACCCCTCCATCTGTCTCTCTTTCTCATCCCAACCCGATCAGCGTGGCACGGTGACTGATGTGCAGCTCAGATTGTAAATGAGTTAAGAGTTGATTACACCTTTCGATTAAACATCCTCCCGCCCGCCCTCGCGCCGGCCCTATCTCGGGCACCATCCCTTATCCCAGCAATTAAGTCCCGCAGTTTTCTTATACCTTCAGTTTTCTTGTCACTTCCCTTATCCTTACTTAATCCTTGTCCGTGGCGCTGCGGGGTCATCCACGCTTAAACACTAATAGGCCAGGAGGATTTCGATAGCTCGACGTCGAGCGATCGAAATCCTAGTTTGCTATTGGTGTTTCATTTTCAATTTTCTCCACATTTCCGGAGTTTTGTCCAGTCTTACTATTCACCTGTAGACCGATTATTGAAACTGATAGACAAAGCAGTAGACAAAGAAGACAAAACGGATACGGAGGGATCTTATTGGTGGAAGCGGGTGGTTGCAATGGACAAAGGACGTAGGTAATAGACTAACTAACGGCAACCCACGAGAGACCCGATAGTTAGTCTATCATTTACCTCCTTAGTCTATGAGAACCACCCATTTCAACCAATAGGATCGCTCCATACTCCCTATGTCTTTTTTGTCTACAGCTTTGTCTATCAATTTCCATAATCAGCCGCCTGGAAACTTAACTGACATAACTGACTTAACTGACTTTCCACATAAATCGACGTGTGGCGTTCCGTATTGATTCAACAACTCGGTTTTACAAATTGATCTATTGAGTGTCAGATAAAATGTTCGTTTCGCATGACAAACTTTAAAATCGAACCCAACCAAAAGAGGAGGTTCGGTTACACGAATCGAACGTTCAGTTGCATTGGTTGAAATCTTTGCTACTCTGACGTGAGGACGTTTCTCTATTTGCATATGAGCCCCAGAATGCGTAGAGTTATACGGAGAACAGGGGTCACGTGGAAATCGAGGTACGCCCTTATGTCACAGGAGCGACAAAATATTGGTTTGAAAACCGAATTCGATTAAAATTGGTGCAACAAACGTTGAGTTTATAAAATTGAACTGTTTCTTAGTATCTCTGAAAAGAAAAGTCGCTTGGATTGGATCTAGAGTCCAGACTCTTAATAGCATATTAACAAGGAAAAATACTCTTAATTCAATCCGATTTTTCCTTGAATTGAGGAGCCGAGCCTCTTGATTTAGGCGGATTTCCTTTTGATTCAAGCAAAAAGTCCGATTGCATCAAGATTATTTCTTTTTGTCAATGTTTTCAAGAGTCTGGACTCTAGATCCAAGATGCTTTTTTTTCATGTATAGTATTCGATCCATATGCTAAAATGCAAACAATAACAACTGTTACTTCTCCGGCGTTGGTGCGAAAACATCACTGACGTTCTCTACATTGTACTCGGAAAGAACGCTCTTATCTGGAACGATCTCTAAGATAGAAACTGAACTCTGGGAAAGTCAAAGAGGTTATATTAATGCTGCGGGTGGAAATGTGACAGAAGCTGAAGATGACCAGTTGCACGAGGCCGAGGCGAAGGAATACTGCCATGTTAAGGAAAAACGCTGCATGCGCCTTCAGACGTTGCCAAATTCCCTCTAATAAAATATCAATTATCTAGGAATTTTGTGAATATTTTCATTCGAGTTTTTTAGGGAATTTTATTTGTGATCAACAGTTGTACAATGTGAGTAACAGTTCTGCCGTGCTAATGCAAAACGCCGTATGAACATCCGAGAGTTGCCGAATTTCCTTCGATAAAATGTTTATTTTTGAGGAAAGTTATGGATATTTTCCCTTGAAATTTTCAGGAACATCAGGTAAAATTGCAAGCAAAATTATCTGAAAAATTGGAAGACAAATAATTGCAAATTTTTCCGAAAATTCGTGATTTACTAAATCAAATCTAAATTACCTGAAAATTTAAAGGAAAAGTATTCATAACTTTCCTCAAAAATAAACATTTTATCGAAGGAAATTTGGCAACTCTCGAATGTTCGTACTGCGTTCTTCCTCAGCACGGCAGCATACCTCGACCGCTGGACGAGGCCGGTCGTAGAGGCGGACGATCACCGCGGAGAAAATAGCCGACGACGCACAGTGAATCGAGTCGATTGAAGAGGTTGGACATGAATTTTTTTTGAAATTAAAACTGAGAGTTTGTGGTGTTTATTTCGTCCAATTTTAAATCTCAAGGGGTGCCTCCAGAGGAAAATTTTACGAGAAAACCAACGAAACTACTTTCAGAACCTCGAAATTGTGTATAAACGGAGTTATAAGCGTTTAAAGTTTCCAAATTACGTCCGACCTCTCCTATTGGTTCGATCCACTGTGCGACGTTGGAAAGAGACCGAGATGAAGGGCGGGGGTCGGGAGGAGGCGATGGAGGGGGAGGTATTGTATCAAGCGGATGTAACGAGGTGAGGGAAAATTGCCGCGGAAAATCCATGAGAATGTCGCCGGGCGTATTGACACTAGGTTTTTATGAGGACAGATGCGGCCATTATCCCGGGGCCGGGGCCGGTCAGGAGAAGGCGACCGAGTCATCGTTAATGACGTATTCGAAGCGAAAACGAGGCCATTCAAACCCGGAGCGGGAGCTTCTTTCTGCCTCCAGCCCCGCGAGCTGATTCCGCGCATTTCCTTAATCAGCTCCACATGATGTCGTGGTTTCCCCGCGTTGCCGCCCCGTCAAATCTTCCCTCTTATGACCTGGTTACACGCTCAAATTTCCGTCAAATTCCGATCAAAATGATGACCAAGATGGCGGTCGAGAGTTATCAAGATTGATGAGTATAATTAATTAAAACAGCGTGTTGATTGAAGTAAGTATGAAATAAGCACGGTTGTGTGGAAATCAGATGAAGGATGAGCCCCACTGTTCCATCATCAACCATCAAATTTTTGTCGGCCGCAGTTTGATGGTAGATGGTGCGCACCAGTCATCATTTGATCGGAAATTGATGAGAATTTGAGCGTGTAACCAGCACATTAAGGTGAATCCAGGGTTCGATTAGGGATAATTCAAGATTAGAGATAGCGCCACCAGCTACCTCTGAGAATTTCACTTTCCTTCCACGATTACTGAAATAATATTCCTCAAATTACAAAAAACACATCCACGAGATGTAGATTATTTGTTGCTTGATTTTTTGAGTCAAAAATATTGGCAATGGAGATGTTGGATGTGTGAGGAATTTGCGATTTGACAATTGATTCTTATGTAACAGTTCGCGAGAAACACGATGGTGCCACTGGTTTTCTCTGAAATCAACTCCGAAGCTCAAAAAATGCTCTCAAGTTGAGGCCAAAATAGAGGGGATATCCCTCGCTATCCTGAGAGTCCACCTCTACATCAAGACAAACTCTCTCCATGCAAAGATAAAGAGCGAATACATTGACAGGAGTGCCATTTTATTTGCGGACTCTAAAACTGAAAACACGGCAACCCTGCTGATGTATTTGCTCCCTATCTTTGCATGGAGAGTTTGTCTTGATGTAGAGGTGGACTCGCAAGATAGCGTGGGATATCCCCTCCATTTTGGCCTCAACTTGAGAGCTTTTTTTGAGCTTGGGAGTTGATTTCAGAGAAAACCAGTGGCACCATCGTGTTTCTCACGAACTTTTAAGTGAGAATTAATAGTCAAATCGCGTATTCCTCACACATGCAACATCTCCATTTAAGATTAGAGATAGCGCCACCAGTCACCTCTGAGAATTTCACTTTCCTTCGACGATTACTGAAATAATATTTCTTAAATTACAAAAAGCAGATCCCCGAGATATAGATTATTTGTTGCTTGATTTTTTGAGCCAAAAATATTGGCAATTAGAATTAGCGCAGAGAAAGTACAGCTGAAACTTTCAGCTCAGTGGTGGCGATCGAGCGCGCAACGGAATCCCTACTGCTCTGTCTATCTCTCTCCCATTGCCGCCGTAGTTCCGACTTTATTTTTGGGAATTTTGAGAAGAGTTTTTTACTGAGTGTTCCTCAAGTATGTTGCTATATCCCCTGGACCCCCAATCTTGAATAAGTATAACAATTTTCGTTATTTTGGCAAATATATACGGCCATTCTAAGCAGCGTGACGTGGTGGCCAAATCGCGAAGTTTGGAGCCTGGATTCACATTAAACTGCCGTGCTAAAGAAAAACGCCGTATGGACATTCGAAAGTTGCCAGAGAGACTTTGCCTTTATTAGTGGACGACTAATTTCAAATAAGTTACGAATTTATCGGGCCACAGGCACAGGCCACGTCGAGAGCAGTCGAATTCACCGCGGGAGCGGTACCCACAGCGAGGGGCAACTATTCAATCTCCGCGGTAACCCCAGGCGGTATCCACGTACATTGAAGGCGTTTTATGTTGTCGAATCCAGACTGCAGTCAGCAGTCTCTCCGTCATGCGGGAGCCATGCTGATCTGCACGCGATTGAACAAAACTAACACAATTTTCATGCGTTGCCAATCTCACCTGTGATACCAAGTCCCCATTTTTCTATAAACATATGAATTTGTTTTTAACTAATGCGTTGTTCGCGAGGTTTTCGCGGAACAAAATCCTTGGAATGACGAAAGACGACTGTGAAAGGATCGATCCTGGGTGAGATAGATCACCTCACATAAAATCGATTTTTATAATTGGTTTAAACGTAGGAAAAGCAGTGTTGCCAATTCGGACGAATTGCCACAGAAGGACTATTTTTTCACAGATAAATCGATGCTAAAACGTAACGTGGTCAAAAAATATTAAAGTGAGTTTTTTGTGGGCCCATCTCCAAGTAAAATCAAACGCGGGTATCCTGACAATTACTCTCTGTGATGATTAACGAGAGAGGGTTATCGCGCCAATGTGTCTTTCTCTCTCTTTTTTTTTCAATTTGCTTTTGCAATAAACCGATGCAATTCATTGTTTCAGGGACCCAAACGAACCTCGCGCTTCGGGTGCCGATTTTGGAGCGCCTAAGGAAAGATCAAGGTACAAATCTTTGACGTGGGATCAGTATGATATCAACACCCAACAGTACCTGAGTATCGGTAAGTCAAATTAAATATACTGATGGATAATTCGCGCCGATTATTGCATCCCGTAGTTTAATTTTTTAACTGAAATCTTATCAACATAATGCTTTGAAACTTAGCGTCCGTTGAACGATCTCAACCCACGATTTCTGAGACGTTTGCATCTCTTGTCTCCGCAGTGAGTCACAAACTCACGAATCACTCAAGTGAGTTGGCTGAAGGAAAAATCGTATGAAAGTCACGTTGAGTCGATTCAGAAAGTTTAAAGTTATTTTCCTAGCGCACAATCCGCGTTGTCTGCAGCTGTATTCTTAAATGTTGCATATTTGTGAGTACTTTTTCTTTGTCACCGGTAATTATTCAAGTTTACTGAGAGCAAAACGTAGGATTATCTTATCTACTCGTATATAAAGCATTTAAAGCTTTTATTGATCTTTTTTCGCGCAATTTCAGCGTTTTTTAAATACTTGCTTGTTCTATATTTAGAAGAAACAGCAAGATAAAGTTTATTATACGCATTGAAATCATATCCACAATAAACTAGCAATAACTTAAATTTGTTTTTAAAAAATGTAGATTGGATTTCAATTACATTTCTCTCATGGAAAACCTGATTGCTGGTGGGTGAAAAAAATACCTGCAAATGCGGTATTGATTTCGCTAATTGTGCATTACAATGTGTATTTTAGACATTTTCAATTTGCTCATCGTAAATTTTAGTGCAATTTTACTCTTGAAACGTCTCGTCAGTTTGCTGTACCTTTTGTGTGTATTAATTTTAGAAGTGATACGCGTATGAAGATAATAAAAAAAAATATTAAAAAATAAAGGGAAAAAAACAGAAGAAACAAATTAAATACGTGATCGATACTGACGTGACGATACTCGTCAGCTAGGAGGATGGTGGCATGATTAAAGGGAACGAACGATGCAAGAATAATTTAGGTGAAATCGGAGCTGAAAATAAAAGTGCTCTCCGCATCCATGCAGTATAATTGAGAGAGGACTGATATTGGCACTAATGTCCATTTAAAATTCTGAAGCATGGGGCTCCGCAATAATAAATAAACATCCGTCCGGGCAAAATCCGTTCGGTAAAGTATAATTAAGCCGCCGGGACTTTCACACTCGGTCGTCAATTTTGAACTTGCTCACGGCTCTTCTTCCTCTCACTAATGAGCTGACCGTGGAAAGTCGAACGCACCAATTTACAGAGACCCATCTACGAATCAGGGCCGGATTTTCCTACTTGCCGCCCATGGGCCGCCTGTATCTTGCCGCTCCCCTCTTATTCGTTTTGAAACATCAATTAAAAATCATCAAGTGAACGTGCCAGCGGGGGTAGGGTGCATAAGACGCGTTTACTCGTGTTGAATAATTTTTTTGGGAAAGCCCTGTCAACACTAATAGCAAAAAGTCACGGAACTTTGCGCGAAAGTCAAGTTTCGTAAACCTATCTCTAATGCACAAGCACTTCCATTCATAAGAAATGAACGAAAAAATTATGAAAGAACAAATACAAAATTTGGTTTGATGATTTTAACTTCCGCCGCCGCGCCATGCCGACCGCAATGTGTTTGGCGCAATGCGAGAAGTATTCACTCAGTCTTGTAGGCGCTCTCCGTTTCACGCTGACCACAATAACCGCACTGCGTTTGATGCAATGCGTGAAGTATTTGTGCAGTATTGTAGGCGCTAATATGTGTTACATGCTGATTGCCGCGCCGAGGGCTTCTCCTTTTCACGTCATCATTTCTTGCAGTTCCAGGCCAAATTGTGTGATTGGTTTCTCTCTTAACTCGACTAATTAAAGGTGCTGTCTCTTGTATCACTTAAAGACGACAAAATTAGAAATGATTATACTCTCACTCAGGAAATGAGATATTTTGTAGCCTTTTCTCGTTCGTAATTTTGTTTCTAAATCCGATTTTTTTTATACCTACATTTAAAAAAAATTGCAAAATTTTCCGCCCCCTAGATTTGCCGCCACGGGCCGCGGCCCATGTGGCCACCCCCTTAATCCGGCCCTGCTACAAATGATTTATGCCTTTAGAAATCTTTGAAAAACTCGTCATTAATGGGTCAGTTACGCTTGTCACAAACTTGCCTTCAGATTGTTTTAACTTATAGATCAGCAAAACAAAATTCCGTCTGAATGTCTCGTTTCTACGTTTAATATTAACTGAAATATCACCCTTCGAAAAACACGGTGTATAATATCATCCATCGTGACAGCATATTCCATTGTTTCTCCCACCTTTAATAATCGATTCGACTACATTTTGCAATTAGGAACTACGATTCCGGACTCATCCGTAAAAACACTTATGTACATAGGGAAAATAATAGTACACACGCTGTTTCTAAACTGAGCCAGAAATTATAGTTTCTTTCTGCAAAATGCGGTAAAGCTAGTCATACGCATGCTGGCACTGGCTGTTTGACTTAAAAACGGATGAATCCAAGGTGGAAGAAACTATGGTGTACATCATCGTGGTGGATGCTGACATATACTGTTTTTGAAGGACAACACATCCGTCAAAATTGGAAGTAGCAAAATGGGGCTTCCGTTGATCTTATTACTTTGTTACTTATCTATAATCTGAAATCATCAAAACGTGATTCTATATGACTGGCGCAACTAACTCATTATGTGACCAAATTTGCGAGTTTTTTTTTTCAAAAGATTCAAGACAAACAAACGTTGGTTTCGGCAATAATTTCATGAGCATAAATCAAAATTGGTCGGTTCATTGTTTTGCAAGGTGACTGAAAAGAGAGTGGAGCTGGAACAAAGTAAAAAAAAGAGGGCGAAGAAACAAAAACATGAATTCCATCAATCAATCTGCTGTCTTTGATTTCGCTCTCGCTGTCAAACTCTTATCTCAACGATACACTCTTCATCCTGGATGTCTGTTTCTGTGAGTCCCTTCACCCTCATCCGTCCCTTCAAGGGTGGCGCGTTTCATCCCCCGCATGAAGCAGCTCGCAATGCGGTTACTGAGAAAATATCGCATCGGCGCTCATTTACAAAAAGTCATGCTTTTTACGGTGTAACCTAAAAGGGAGATGGGGGTGTTAACATAAGTCAAAATTTAGATTTCCATCCGTAAAAATGTTATTTAAGTACCTAGAGTATCAACTTTTACGAATTTATGAAACACATCACGATTATTACAGATAAAATAAACCAGCAATTTTAAAAAAAAAAGCCGGTCATTTGTCCTAGACGGATCCAGACACCTTAAATGAAGGGAGGGGACGTAAAGAGGGTCTAAAAGCCTCCTCCAGAAATTTTTTGAAGCATCTAATATGCAATTTCAGTCAATTTCGTCATTAATTATATCCAAATGTAAGCGTATCCCTTTCCTCTTTCCTCCGTTCCCTCCTTTTTCCTCCTCATCTTATTCTTCCTCCTTTTTTTCGGCTGAACGAGGGAGGGGGGATGCACGCCCCCTGCCCCCCCAGATCCGCCTATGTCATTTGTATTAAGTAATATCCGAAGGGAGTTCAAAGTATACTGAAAAAAAGATCGATAGAATTTACCATTCCTTCACGCTGTATTTCGCACAGCGTCAATTTAGAGTCAATTCTGCCAGAGGAAAGATAAACGTTACTATATTCTGGTACGGATAATCATTCCTCTGGCAGAATCGACTTGAAGATTGGTAAAATTTACCACCTTTTCACGCTGTATTTCACTCAGCGTGAGGGAATAGTAAATTCTACCAATATTTTTTTCAGTGAGTGCTTTTTCCGTAACGCTCTACTAGAAAAGTTGTGAGTTTTTCTCCAAAAGAAGTAAAATTTTTGATGAAGAAACAACTCGTGTCTTCAGTTATCTCCGGTTGCTGTCGCACTTGTCTCTAGTTGTTCTTTTCATTCTTCCGAGTGATGAAAGGAGAGAGTACTTTCAGACACCCATCCTTTCTCCGAAAATCATTTCTCGAGCATGAGCTGTGTAAGATTTCCTCAAATATTTGTACACGTCACGATTGTCACGCGCAGCGTCACGTAACTGGAGTCTTCAATTGAGATTAAATCGTCACGCTCGCGGATCCTGAGGCGCCGGGCCCCCCCCCCCCCCC